GAGTTCATGCAAACCTCGTACATGTAGGCCTCCAGCAAGTGCGGCTTGGCATGGTACAACCACTTCAAACACTAGGCACCACTGTTTTGCTTAGCATGCTGTGTTGAAGCTGACATTCAGGTAAACACGCCGGCCGGGGATGCCTAGGCACCCAGGCAGGCTACAATCCGGCAATTCTTAAAGGGGATGCGAACGAAGGAAAACCACGTGCTTACCCGGCTCCAGCCAACGAAGGAGAGCCTTCCCGGTGCGCACCTCACTCAGCCTCGCTGATTCTCGAAACACCCCCAAAACACGTGTCGTGCCTACGTGTGGTGCCGTCTATTGCCACGTGCTATTACCAGAGCATAGGAAAAGAAAAGGAGCGGCCGTATGGTGGAATTCTCGCGAAATGGTCGCGGGCGCGCCTTCGATTCCCACATCTTCCTCTCCTTAATTCACCCTGTGCACCAGAACACAACGAGCTAAATGCTTGCTGCCATATCAAAAAGTGTGTGGCGCCATCTGTTGTAAGCACGACGAAGCGAAATGGTCGCGGGCGCGCTTTCGATTCCCACATCTTTCTCTCCTTAATTCACCCTGTGCACCAAAACACAACGAGCTAAATGCTTGCTGCCATATCAAAAAGTGTGTGGCGCCATCTGTTGTAAGCACGACGAAGCAACACCCTCAACTGCCACGCGAGCAGACGCTCTACTAATCAAACACAAAACTTCACAACCTGAGGGCAGCTGTAAGCATATTTCGCGCTGTTCCTGTGCTGGAATTTATTCTGATTTCGTGTTAAACGTCGGTGAGTCCTCTCTCGACAGTGTCCTCATCATGTGCATTGCAGATTGCTGAAGCAGCTTCATTAGGTACGTATTATCTGACATAAAGAAACGCGAACAGCGTTAACTGCGGGATGCCTTGTAGAAATCGTGCTGTAAGCCGGTGTCAACATAGCGCTAGAATCTGGCTCCAACTTACGCTTATGCACCACATGTGTATCAATTGCCAGTCCTGTCGGGCACTCAGAACACACACGCGGTGCAAAAATGCCAGCCAGAACAAGATTTTAAAATGCTACGGTGACGCCGGTCGAAAGCATATGTGGATTCGCCTAGTGACAGTCAAGGCACGTCGCAGTTCGACCGGGTCAAAAGTCATGCTTTTCACGCCGTTCACGCATCGCGATAAAAGGCTGTTACGGTTGTACTAGACATGCGTGGTGCGTGCATCTATGCGTGAGTCGTAATACGTATATCCTACTATTGGCATGCGGCCTGCGAAAAAGTACGGAAGTAGTTTTTTGCCTCATACTGCAGACATACTGCACGCAAATCGCTGCTATGAAGTGAAACAGCCGGATTCATGCTTGAATAAACGCAATAAGTTTACTTACCCGTACACTTCATAGGGCTCGTAGTATTTCCGGCTATTGGCGATTATATCCTGAAGCGGTGGAGCTCAGCGTTTTTTTTTTTTTTTTTTTTTTTTTGTGTGGACGGAAATCCGTGCAAAACACCGCATTAATACGATTCCCACGGTGCACTGTCATCTTCACAGGCAGTGCTCAGCAATTTCTTGCTCTTGCGCTGGTTGTTGTCGCATCAGATGACAGTGCAGTATTACCCAGATGACATTTTATAAGCGGGCGCAGCGTGAACAGGCGCTTTTTCGCATTTTAAACTCTCAGTGCTACTGCTTGCCTTGCTAGTGAGGCGTGCCTTGGCAGTTCCAAACAAATTATGGCATCTCTGGGAGCGAGGGTATACCGCCGAAGGCACCTAGGTGCGAGATAGGCGTGATCTCGTCTCTATACTTTTCTCCAAAGGCGGCCGGTCATTGCCCATGCATGCAAAGACGTCATGCAATGAGCAACAGCTAGCCTCAGCCTAGCCCTGCAACAGTTGCTGAAGGAAAAAAAAAATGAAATGAAACAATCATTGATACACTGTAGGGGAGCATGTGCGCCCAGCCACCGTCTCTCTTTTACAACAGCGCGAAAGCCTAGTTGCGGGACCACCCCCACGGCCGGCGCTCGCGATCCCCCTTTCTCAGCGCGCGGAATTGGTCTCCCCTCCCTCAGCGAGAAAAGGTATTCTCGTCAGGGAGAGGGAAACCGACTAGTCTGCACGCTCTCTCTGGCACCGGCCTTGGAAGAAGAAGGTCGAACCCGCAACCCCACTGCAAGCCGAGGGTCAACTTTCAAGGAGTAAGCGTCTACTCTCGTTTCTGTAGTATCTCCTTGCGACATTTGCGCGCTATTGCAAACGCATTATTCTGTTGCCTTATTCGCTCGAACCCGTCTAGCTGCAATGGGACTAGCTACGGATAGGGGGCGTTAATCTTGCATGTTTATTTTTATTTTATTTATTTATCACATACTGCGGACCAAGTATGGTCCATGCAGGAGAGGGCAATACAGTTCAAAATTCTTCTACATACATACACTTCCACTGCAGTATACATTCACTGCAGAACAAAATTCATGTACATTAAAAATTCGTGAAAAACAAGGGACAAATACAGGCAAAGAAGCAGACGTAAGCAACAAGAAAAGGGTATAGTTTCATCTCGGCGTGTTGAGCATAGGGGAATTATGGGGCAGAGCATTCCAATCAGAGACAGTTCTCGGGAAAAATGAATACTTGTAAATGTTAGTGCGTGCAAATATAGGTGTAATGCTACGACTATGTTTATGACGTGAAGACCTGGTTGTGTCCTGTGTTATGTAATCTGGTGCATGCAATCCTGATCTGGAAAAGTATAAAAGGCGGAAAAAGTTAAGCCGTGCAGTTTTCCTTCGATCGGCCAAAAGTTGGAGCTTCGCATCCTGCAACAGGGCTGACGGCGAATCGCGACATCTATACCGGTTGTATATAAATCGAGCAGCTAATCGTTGTATTTTTTCTATTTTCTGTATATTACCAGCTGTGTGGGGGTCCCACACAATGCTGGCATATTCAAGAGAAGGACGAACTATGACTTTATAGGCTCTAAGTTTTAGTGAACTAGAAGACCGACCCAATTTATATTTTAGAAAGCCTAATTTTCTCCTGGCAGCAGAACATATATCATCAATATGTGCTGTCCAGCTAAGCTTCGATGTAATCGTTACGCCCAAGTACTTAAATTCTTCTACTTGCCTGATAGCGTATCCACCTACATTATAAGTAAACTCCAGTTTTCGGATTTTGTTACTCAGACATAAATATGCAGTTTTCTCAAAATTAATTACCATTTCCCACTTTTTGCACCATTCTTTTATGTAGATTAAGTTCTCACACAAGTGATGCTGGTCAGAGATAGAATTTATGGTATTAAAAATTATGCAATCGTCTGCAAATAACTTAACAGACACGCCAGGTCGGATGGCTTGAACTAAATCGTTAATATAAATATTAAATAGTATAGGCCCGAGAACTGACCCTTGCGGGACTCCAGATAACACCCCCAAATAACCAGAGGTGAAACCGTTTATATCTACGTACTGTTTTCTGTTCGTTAAGTACGCTATGACCCAGTTAATTATTTCCGGAGGAATGCCAATAACCTTCATCTTATCTATTAGCTTGATATGCGGGACCTTGTCAAAGGCCTTGGAAAAGTCCATAAAGATGACATCAACCTGTCCAGACTTGTCCAGAACTTTGGAGAACTCGTTAACAGTTGCTAATAATTGTGTGGTGGTAGATAATCCCCGTCGGAAGCCATGTTGTGCGCTGAGAATTACTTTATTTTGTTCAAGAAAAGTATTTAAATATTTCGCTATAATATGTTCAAGTAATTTGCAACAAATACAGGTAAGGGAGATTGGTCGATAATTGCTGACTAATGATCTCTTACCTTTCTTAAATACCGGAATTACACGTGCTAGCAGCCAATCGTCGGGCACTGAACTAGTTTTAATCGAAACATCAAATATTATTACTAGGAATCTAGCTATGATTTCAGCATACCTCTTTAAAAAAACAGCTGGGATACCGTCAGGGCCGGTCGATTTTTTTACGTCTAGCCGCAATAATAGTTCTGTCACCCCTTCCAAGGATATATTTATTAGGCTTGAAGGACCTGGCACCGTCATAATACTCAAGTTTTGTGGTCTTGAAAAAACGCTCTGAAAGTAGGAATTAAATGCGTTTGCTATTTCGTTTTTATTTGTGACAGCGGTTTCTCCGTTCATTATTTCATCAGGGATACAGTTGTCTTTGTTTTGCAAGAACTGGTAAAATTTTCGTGGACTCTCTGCCGCAAAGCGGCCTAGTGTCTCGGTGTAATAATGTTCCCTAGCCTCCTTCAACTTGGATGCTAAAGTATCTCTTAGATCGTGCAGAACTACATCATTAGCTATTTTTTGCTTTCTTCGCCTTTTAATTTTGCGTTTTAGGTGAATTAGATCGCGCGTTATCCAGGGGTTTGTACGGCCAACTTTTTTAAGTTTATCTGGAACGAAATTGCGAATGCAGAAGTGGCAATAAAATTTGAATCGTGTCCATAGCGAGTTAACACTGCCGTCGCAAAATGATAGCAAAGCTTCTTCTAGGTAGTGAACAATCCGGAAATCGTCTGCAGCAGAATACTGTTTTACAACTACGGGCTCAGGTCTAGATGACACAAAGAGCTATGAAACACATAACGACCAGTTTTACAGGCACGGAAACGGCTACAGGTACTCCGTACAGGCCTGCTGCCTTTGTTACATTATAGGAGACCTTATGACCATTAGGAATCACGGCATGTCTTAGTTTCGGTTTCTTGTTCCCCCGTAGCCTCTTCAGTACTTTCACTTTTCGCTTGTATACCACACACACCAAGCAATGTGCAACACACACCACGAACACTTATGCATGTTCTTTGTCTCAGTCGCATTGTGCCTTCCCTCGGGAAGAGGCACTTTGTGAGCAGCTAGAGTGGAACATCAATACTTGTTTATTTTTTGTCTCAGTAGTTCCGTATGCATACCCTGTTGTAGTGGAGGTGGTGCTTACTAATCGTGTTTTTTGCCGGGCTAACAGATAAAAGCAGCGAAGAGGCTCGAGCCCCACCATCTACTCCAGCCACTTCGTCGTCTCAGCCTCAACAGCCTCCGTCCGAAGCGGCATCTCCACAAGCTGGTGAGCTGTTTGTCTTGCATTTTTTCATATAAATACCTTTCGAAACCGAGCTGTAAAAGCCGGAAATTTGTAGTGCAGGCGTTCAACCTGCGCTGATGGTTCACTTGCAGGTGACAGTGCTCAGGCCGACACCAGTGGGCCGATTCGTGCCACGCCATCTATGTGGCGCTGTTCCAAGATCATGCACTTGCAGCGGGACCTGCACCCCACTGTGCTCTCTTCCCTTGAAGGAATTGTCGACCAGGTGATCTTTTGGTCACTCGACATTACAACATAGTTTCTTTATGGCCTCATGCATATCATGATCACATCAGATGTTTATTTTTACTGTGCCGCCCAGTTTTACGGAGTGTGGGCAACTGTAAAGAAAGTCATGTAAAGGGGGAAGGAGATGGTCTATGAGAGCTAAAATTTAAAAAACCGAATGTTTGAAAATGTTTAGCGTACCAGGGGGGGGGGGGGGGGGTCACAACTGATGCACAACCTTGTCAATTTTTATGCCTCTCAGACCTGTATTTCAGTGTTGACAGCATTTTATGTGACATTAGCAAGATTAATCTTTAGTGGTGGACACACAAAAAATGGGCATTTTCAGCGCCATGCTGTTTCTGTTCTACACTTCCTACAGCAACCATTTTAGTTGCATTAGAAAGAGCTGGTGCTCCCTTCCGAATATCCTGCCACGCTTGTTTTTGTGCACTCAGAATTCACACAAAAAACCGACATCAAAGAAAGGTCCCACTGCATGAGCTTATGGGCACACGTGAGTAAATAACGCCTTCATATCACTGTGTTCTCATTGATTTAAGTTCATGAGGTCAATTTATGTTCACGGGCTCTTTCAACACGATTTAATTAGGCTTGCACGAATATTCAGATGCTTTGAATATTTGAACGAAAAACACGGTATTTGAATTTTGTTGGAATCATTTTTAAATTATTGAAAAGTTCAAATTAATTAGGCTTGTGCGAATACTCGAATGCGTTGAATATTCGAACTAGTAGTTGAGTATATGAATTGGCTTTGATTCGTATTATTTAAATTATCGAATATTTTCGAAGTATCCCAATGAACGAATAGGTGTATATTAATCTGCATGTAACTACCTGTAAAGATGGTTTAATTGCAATGTAGGGGTGCCAAGCTGTGAAAACACCTATTCAGGGAAAATTCACTTTTCCGCAAATCTCTCTTTCAAATTTAATAGGGCCTTGCAACACTAACTGAGCATGGTCAGAAAATGCTGCTCATCGATAGTCGAGGCTACCGAGAACACGCGAGGCAAATAACAGGTGCTCAAGGTCACAAGTTGCATGTGCTGTATTTTTTTTCGCAGTGCCATTCTTCCCGGCTTAGCTTACAGCTATTTCGTTGGGATGAGAAGAGAGAATGCAATTGCAGCGTGCGACAAATTTTTGGAACTCTGCTCGTACTGGACTGATTCTAAAAACTTTACGGCGGCAAACTTGTGAGGCAACAAGCATGTTTACTGGCTCCATGGCTACTTCAAAAGTGTTGCAGGGCCCCTTTAAGGGAACATGTTAGCCCCTAATCAATCTTCATTTTATTAAGCTTGTTAGACAGCTTACATGCTCTAAATATGATAAATTTTAAAACATGAAGTATCTTACGTAGTTGCTTGAGTGAGTTGGTACGACATGATTCACATAATGTCGCTGTCTCCTTCTTTTCTTTTCCCTCGTTATTGGCGCTGTTTTTTATGTGAATCGTGAAGTATCTTACAGGTTATCACTCGCATCCTACCCAAACTACTACTCAAGGTTCTTTCGACTTCCTTTGAACGAGAAAAAATGGCATTTGCATAGAGGCCCCATTTCAATTCAAAAGAAATATTGTGCAGGTTAGTTAGTTCATGATAAATATTTTCCTTTTTTTATATGTCATACATACTATTCGAATCTGATTAGAAATTATTCGATCAAAATCACTATTCATTTCAAATTTGCTTCGAACCTAAAATTTACTATTCAAACAAGCCTATAAATTATTCAAAATGAACGAATAGGTGTAATAGTGTAAAAGTTGTTTCGCAGCAGTCAAGTGTTGTTAACCCGTTACGTTTAAAAGATTGTTATACTGACTTGTGTGCTCCAAGTATAAGAAATTTTAAAGAGTAACATATTTTTTTATAGGCTATCATTTGCATTTCACAGAAAGTCAAATCCTGCTACTATTTGAAATTGTTCTCACTTCATTCAAACCAAAAGAAAGGCATTTGCGCAGGTCTTGTTTTTACTTGTTTTGTATTGGGCAAGTTATCTGTAATATGCGATATACGGTATATACTGTTCAAATTCGATTCGAAATATGCGACCAAAATCACTATTTCTTTAGAATTGGCTTTGTACCTAAAGCTCTGTATTCGCACAAGCCTAAATTTCAAGCATGGATAGAGATCTCTTATCCAGATAGCGGAAGGCACTTCGAGCAAGTGTAAGAATGCTTAGGAGCAAAACTGATAAGAGGATAGAAGAAAACGAAGAAACTGTGCATGACGGTGCCTTGCTTGACGTCGTTGCGAACTCCAGTCATAATCTTTATTGCTACGAGTGACGCAATGTTTAGTTTGACTGCCGATGGAATATTCAGCCTTAACGAAATGTGACCTAGCTACTGAAGTACACAAGCCGAAAAATACAACGCTGTCCACAAACAACAAACGAAACGACTATGTACGCCACCATTGTTATCTTGGTGATGCCAATGACACTAGGGGCTTTGCAGCAGCAAGCAAAAATAAGAAAAAGCGTAGCCTCTGAGATGTGGCATTTTATATTTATTTATTTTTTTATTTATTTTGAAAAAGGGTTTATTGGCGACTGTTGCGACGGTGGTCCTATGATGAAACACGATCGGGAAAGAGCAACGGTCAAGCAGATGCCGGCGATGATCAGCACGAGCCGAGCAAGCGAAGCCCAGGACCCAGTACCCAAGCGGAGGCGATGTTGCTTGCCAACGATGCGTTTTTTTTTCTTCACAATTTTCCCCCGCCGAAAAAGAGCCATCCTGGCGACCTAAGAGTCTGGAGGCAGAGGGCTATAATATGGCTTAAGGCGGGCGACGGGAACGATGTCACGTCCACGCCGGCGCATGTCGTCAGATGGGGAAAGTGGCTCAATGAGAAAATTCACCGGTGAGGTTTGCTCCAAAACGCGGTAAGGACCCTCGTACTTCGGGACTAGTTTTGAGGAAAGGCCGGGGGTTTGGTAAGGAACAGCTAGCCATAAAAATGATCCCGGGGAATAGCTGTGGCTTCGTGAAGAGCCGGCGTTGTTTTCTTTCTGGGGCTGCTGTTCTTGTGACGTAAAGGTGTGTGCGAGTTCACGGCACTCTTCCGCTTCTCGGGCAGCTTCGGACACAGGTGGGCATTCGGACGCGTCAGGACGGTATGGAAGGAGAGTGTCGATAGTGTGGGATGGTTTGCGTCTATAAAGGAGAAAGAAAGGTGAAAATCCAGTGGTGGACTGTGCCGCGGTGTTGTATGCGAACGTGATGAATGGAAGAATGCGATCCCAGTTAGTATGATCAGATGTCACATACATCGCGAGCATATCACCGAGTGTGCGGTTAAATCTCTCCGTGAGCCCGTTAGTCTGCGGATGGTATGCCCTGGTCTTGCGATGAACAACATGGCATTCAGAAAGCAGAGCCGTGACGACTTCTGATAGGAAGGCTCGTCCTCGGTCACTTAGTAGTTCTCGAGGAGCACCATGTCGTAGTATGAATTGATGCAGGACGAAGGACGCTACGTCCCGCGCAGTGGCACTTGGAAGGGCAGCGGTCTCAGCGTAGCGTGTTAAATGGTCCACAGCGACTATAATCCACCGATTTTCATCTGATGTTGTCGGTAGAGGGCCATAGAGATTAATTCCGATTCGATCGAAAGGTTTGGCAGGGCACGGAAGCGTTTGAAGTGCACCGGACGAGTGAAAAGGCGGTGATTTACGGCGTTGACAGTCAGGGCAGCTTATAACGAATTTTCGAACAAAATTATACATTCCGCACCAGTAAAAGCGACGGCGAACGCGTTCGTAAGTTTTGAAAACTCCAGCATGGCCACATTGGGGATCGTCGTGAAAGGTGGTGCATATTTGTGATCGCAAGCTGCTGGGGACAACCAAGATCAGTCGATCACGAATGGCGAAACGAGCAGTTTGACGTCGGAGAGATCGTGATACCGCAGTGGTTGACGATCCAGAGAGACAGTCAAAAAGGGAAGCGATCCATGGGGCCTTGTGTTGTTCACTGGCAAACGAGTCGAGGTCGAAAGATGCAATGGAGTTGGTACCAGTGGTTCCGCAGGCCGAGTCGGGAGGTAAAGGCGAACGGGACAGGGCGTCGGCGTCAGAATGCTTGCGTCCGCTGTGATAGATCACGCGAATGTCGTATTCCTGGATTTGCAGTGCCCACCGAGCTAGGCGGCCAGAAGGATCTTTCAATGTGGCCAGCCAACAAAGTGCATGGTGGTCCATTACCAGGTCGAATGGGCGACCGTACAAATAAGGGCGGAACTTGCGAAGCGCCCACACTAGCGCTAAGCACTCTTTTTCAGTGACGCTGTAATTGGCCTCAGCTTTAACTGAGCGTGCGACTCTCATAAGCGACGACATATTCGGAGTAGCCCGGCTTGCGCTGGGCGAGGACAGCGCCAAGACCAACCTCGCTAGCGTCTGTGTGAACTTCCGTTGCAGCTGTTGGGTCGAAATGCCGTAGAATGGGAGGAGATGTTAGCAGACTACGGAGCGTGGCGAAGCGACGTCGCAATCAGGAGACCAGGATGAAAGGTCTGCGTCACCGCGTAGGAGTTTGGTCAGTGGTGACATGATCGACGCAAAATTTCGAACGAAGCGTCGGAAGTACGAGCATAGTCAGATGAAACTGCGTAATTCTTTCAGTGTAGTAGGTTTCGGTAACTCGGCGACTGCTCGCAGTTTTGCGGGGTCGGGTAGAACACCATGCTTGGACACGATGTGCCCTAAGATGGACAGCTCTCGCGCAGCGAAGCGGCACTTTTTGAGGTTCAGTTGGAGGCCAGCGTTGGTTAAACACGTCAGAACCAGTTGGAGCCGAAGCAGATGTGTAGGAAAATCGGGAGAGAAAACGACAATTTCGTCGAGGTAGCATAGACACACAGACCACTTCAGTCCACGCAGTGTGTTGTCCATGAGTCGTTCAAACGTGGCAGGGGCATTACAAAGCCCAAATGGCATTACGTTAAATTC